CACACCATCGAAGAGATCTCCGGTCTCATGGACGCGCATGCTCGCTTCAAGGCCACCCTTGGAGAAGCTGACAAGGAATACCAGGTAAATATTTTAAAGAACATATTCTCCCAGACATTTAGCAACTTCTCTGTAAATCTGTAATCTAATGCCTTCCATTTTATCATAACATAAAAGATATATTCAAAAAATTTTCTAATAATATTTCTTTAATCGAATTTTAGGCGATAGTCAACCTGGTACACCAGGTTGAGTCCATCGTGAAACAGCACCAGATCCCCGGAGGTTTGGAGAACCCCTACACCACTCTTACTGCTCACGTAAGTATTCAAATTACTTCATCTTCTAATCAATCCTTTTTGTAGAAAAAAAATTGTCTTAAAAAGCCAATCGATATGCGAACTTTAAGTTAAATCCTTTTTTCTATAGGAGCTGAACCGCAAGTGGTCCGACGTAAGGCAGCTGGTACCCCAGCGCGATGGTACGCTGGCCGCCGAGCTGCGCAAGCAACAGAACAACGAGACCCTCAGGCGCCAGTTCGCCGAGAAGGCCAACGCTGTTGGACCCTGGATCGAAAGGCAAATGGATGCCGTTACCGCTATCGGAATGGGTCTACAGGTATCGTAGCGAAAACGTTAATTGTTCAATAAATATTTTATTCTTTAACAATTTAATAGTTTATTCCATGAATGGTCTCTAAAACATTATTTTTATGTTTCCAGGGCTCTCTGGAAGACCAACTGCGTCGTCTCAAGGAGTACGAGGCAGGCGTATACGCTTACAAACCACATATCGAGGAATTGGAGCGCATCCACCAGGCCGTACAGGAGGGCATGATCTTCGAAAACAGGTAAGCATTAAAATATTAAAAATTTCATAAGTAAATCTACAGAATTAGACCGTTTGAGCAAAACTATTCTTTCTTACAGGTATTCGCAATACACAATGGAAACTCTGCGCGTAGGCTGGGAACAACTTCTGACTTCCATCAACCGCACTATCAACGAAGTCGAGAACCAAATCCTCACCCGCGACTCAAAGGGTATCACTCAGGAACAACTCACCGAATTCCGTGCTTCCTTCAACCACTTCGACAAAAACCGCACCGGTAAAGCACTAAACAAATTACATTTCCTACTGTAATAGGTTGTGTTACACTGTCTTCCATTACTCAAGATGTTCATTTCTTCTTTGACAGGCCGCCTAGCGCCCGAAGAATACAAATCATGCTTGGTGTCTCTCGGATACAGCATTGGCAAGGACAGGCAAGGAGAACTCGACTTCCAGCGCATTCTCGCTGTTGTCGACCCCAACAACACAGGTATTTAAAAAATAAAAACGCTAATGATAAAACAACATTTGCCAATATGAAAATCTTTTCTAGAAATTGTACCTCCGATCCAATATAACGCTGATAAATCATTTGCAGGCTACGTGTCGTTCGATGCGTTCTTGGACTTCATGACCCGGGAATCCACAGACACAGACACCGCTGAACAAGTCATTGACAGCTTTAGGATCTTAGCTGGCGATAAGGTAAGCCCTGTCCCGATTCGTGTACCTAGTCACTGCATATTTCTTTGATTCGGTTATAATTGACTTTGTATTATTCTCGCTAGCCCTACATCACGGCGGACGAGCTCAGGCGTGAGTTGCCGCCCGACCAGGCAGAATACTGCGTGGCGCGCATGCCTCCATACCGCGGCCCCGGAGCCCCCGCAGGCGCTCTCGACTACATGGCATTCTCCACCGCATTATACGGCGAGACCGACCTTTAAGGTACATTTTTATTTTATTACCATAAATACAACTTAACATTATATTTTAGTTTTCCTTCAATAAAATTTTTAAACACCTAGGCTTTCAGATCATTGAGTCTCGATGGTATTTGGCAAACCTCCAGTTTGTCATTGGGCGGTTGCCTAACGCCCACCATGCTTACATGTTTTGTTGAATAGACATATTTATAGAAACTGAAATATTTTTTACTCAGACACAGGTCGCAGCAGTGGTATCATAGGACATTGTCATCCACGTCATCACTCAAGGAGGGTAGCTAAGATGGCGCGCGCTCACCGCGCTCACTACTAACACACGGCCCGAGGCTTCAGCGGCGACGTAACGGCGCACAAAGATTATTTCCATTACATTGACCTACCTCTCAAAATCGCCCTAAACCAAGGTCAATGTAGAGCAAACAATTTTTGTGGAATAATTTAGTCTATAAAACAGTTCTATATTAAATATTATTATGTGCAATGTTCAAACCAAAAATGCCATTAACTTTCATACCATAAATCTCCTTCCTAATGTTTAGTAACCTTTTGGCTCAAATCAGAGAAATCATCTTATATGTTTACAACACTCTATTTATATTTACATTAGCATTAGGTATTTTTAACTTTTATAAGAAATTCTCAGGGAAGTCACAAAAAAATTATTTGTAAGATAAAAATGGTGCTAATGTTAGGCTTGACTAATGTGTGACACCAAAATAAGACTCATTTACATTGTGAGAATGTTTTTGTTATATTTTTTTTATTTATAAGCAAACATTATTTATACAAGATCAATTTTTATTTACTGCCATTAGTAATTATAATACTTTGATGGTAGGCACAGTATTGTACTAAGTTTTCTAAATTTATAAATGTTGCAGGGAAGTGTCACACAAATTATTTATATCATAGATTGCCATAGCTTGCCTGCATCTATTTATTTATCATTTTTATATGATTATCGTTTGTGAGAGTATTGAAATGAGTACTCAAAATAAATGATCTGCCATATTTTTGTCTTTTAATAATGACTGTGTTGTTAATCCAACCAATTATATTACAATGAGACAACAGCGGTATGTAGAATAAGAATGACTTATGTGCCCAAAAGTATACTAACTCGAATGTACAGCTACTTTAATAAAGAGCTCTTAAACAAATATTATTTTTATTTTGTTTTGTTACCTAATATTAAGTATGGCTGAAATAAAACATGTAAATCAATTGCGGACTTTGTATATTTTATACAAACAACTAGGACAGCTTGCTAGTAATAGATACAGTTGAAGTATAATATGATATATACCTTATACACTGTTATATTATATTACATAATATATTACAATAAAATTGATAATTTCCATAACACCACTACATAGCCACATGAGTAATACAACAATAAATTATAATAACCTATGCATATCTATTAAAGTATTTAAAACTATTATTCAGTTATTATTTCAATTCCTCTTTTTTAGACTCCTCAGCAGTAAGGAGTGCACTCTTAATGCCAACCTTCTTGAGTTCCTCAATGAGCTCACCTGATTGGTGCATTTGCAGCATAATGTCACAACCTCCAACAAATTCACCATTGATAAAGACTTGTGGGATTGTTGGCCAGTTAGAGTAGTCTTTGATACCTGAAACAAGACAAAATCAATTATATAAACAGTTTTAAAACTTATGGTCACAATAATTTACAAACTTCAGATTGAATAAATGTTATGAGAAAAATTTCTCATTATTATTGTACTAAACCGATGGATAGACCACATATAAAATTGCAAATTCCAGTATGCACAACTGTAAATTCAGCTGAATCATGCTCATTCATCAACAAAGTGTTGACAAGAACTTCAAAACATATCAATATTAAGATTTGAACCTAATTTTGACCTCTGTGGTATAATAGTGTTATCATAATTGTTATTTAAACTGTGATAACAGTATAATTTACATAAGAAGTCAAGTTTAAAACTAACCTTGTCTTAGGTCTTCATCTGACAAAACATCGTGACTGTCGTATGGAACCGCGTGCATCCTCATTATCTGTACTACCGCATTGCTGAACCCACATCTTGGAGCATCTGGCACACCTTTCATAAATACTACCACTTTATTATTTTTAACTATAGTGTCGATTTTGTCTTTTATCGGAACATCAGCAAATGAACGGCATGATAACTTCAGAGAGTTAGCATAAATTGGAAATATGCTCCTACGTAATAAGTTATTCATTATTGTAGATTACCAACACGCACTAGGTTTATTTGTTTTAGCAGAAAATATTTTAGAATTCTTTTGTTTTAAAAACCACTTCTGAAAATCTTTTGGAGATTCACATCAATGTCAAAAGTCAAATTATTGTCAAGTGTGAGTGAAGTTGACAATTTCATGTCAATATCATGCCATCATTATCTCTGGGCATCATAGATTGTTTGTAGAATTGTAGTAAAAAGATTGTTTTGTCTATGTCCATAATATTCATAAACTGCCAGCTTTTTATTTTCATCAATATACAAGTATTGTAAGTATCGATATAAGTATTCATCACATAATCACATCTAAGTACCGCTGCATGCGTTGGTGCAGCTGCTTCCGCGGCAGACGCCCTAAAACGGCGTAAATATCGTAACACTTGGGCCATGGGGTCCCAGTGCACACTCTGTTTTTAAAGACATCGCCCTTATGCTAATCTAATCTACCGGTGACCAAAGGGCTGGCTTTGACAGAAAATAAGCATTGCCATTCAACGTGGCAATGCTGCACCAATGCTGCCAGTCCTCTGGAAACGTTCCCCTGTGATAGTAATGCGGACGCCTTTGACGCCTAAATTAAGGGTATAATTTTTGTTGTTTTTGACTGCCTCGTTGGCCGAGTGGTCGCAAGTGCGGTTGCCGGGCAAGGGGTTTCGGGTTAGATTCCCGGATCGGGCAAAGTATTACTGGGTTTTAAAAAAATTCTCAGTAGTCTGTGCTACTACTGAGAAAATTCTGGGAAAACGTCTGGAAATGTGCCCGGTATTTGGCAATAGGCTCACCCCCTATTACATGGGACTCATAACATAGTGAAAAGTGGGTGTTACTTCTGTGTGCACCTCTGCCTACCCCTTCGGAGATAAAAGGCGTGATGTGTTTATCATTATCATTGGTAGGTATTTTACATTAATTTCCTTCCGATGATTTTAGTCTTTGGATTTTGTTGCCTGTGGTTATTGTCTATGTCTATGTGTCAATAAAAAAAGCTTCATTATTTATGGTTATGACCAGTTTGTTGTGTGATATTATTAATTATCTAGATTTTCAATTATCAAATACTAAATAATAAAATGGAGAACGCTGAAGAGATATTTCACTTTCTTGAAGACTTCTCCAAACGCAAACCTAAAACGATTCCACAGGAGCTTAATGAATACTTGGCATACGTAGCCCGAACCGGTGATCCAGTCTACCAATGGTCACTTGTTAAAAGTTTATTCAAAGAAAAATTACTATCCGTTATCACCGACTTTTACGAGACAACTCCAGGTATTGACATTCCACCTTATCCAAACGTGGACCCATTTAATTATGATATTATGAAAAATAGCTTATTAGAACGCCTAGATTCATTCACCTCAGCACCTTTTACAGTTCAAAGAATCTGTGAATTACTTACATTTCCGCGAAAACAATACAACCGGGTTGACAAATTTATGAGAGCAATAGAAAAGAATATTTTAGTGGTCAGTACCAGAGAACCTGGCATACAGCGACATGCTGAACCGGAAAATGGAGAACCAGTCGAACCTATTGTAAATGGCTCGGATAACAATTCTGAGTACAATGTAGATGTTGAGATGGAAGATATGTCTTGGAAAGAAAATGCTGAACAGCCACAAATCTCGGAACCTCAACCTGGATCATCTGATGCCCACATTTCTGTAGATGACATAGAGGCTCGCTTGAAAGCCAAACAAGAGACTCCAATGGATACTCAAGAAAAAACCACTACACAATATGAGTCTGTAACACCTCCAGAATTAAATATTACTGCAGATGAAACACCTGAGGAGAGCAAACCAAATGCAGAAACAGCACCTTCTACTGCGTCTGCTGAGGAATCCAAAATGGAAACAACTACCACAGAAACTTCAAGTGAGGAAGCAAAGGTTGATGTTGAAATGAAACCTGAGGTTGCAGCACCTGCTTTAATCATTCCAGAAATTAAAGTGGATGATGCTGAAATGACAGAACAAAGGCTTACAGAGCAATCATCAGCAGAAAAAGTTGAAAGTACTGAGGCAAGTGACAAGGAAGCTCCAGCTACTGAATCAAAACCTGTGGTGGACCCACAACCTGTAAGCATTGATGAAAATAGCTCAGATTCCACAACAAAAGAGGACAGTGAACCTAAGCTAATATCTGAAGTTTCCACATCTAGTGAGGAAAGTTCGTCCTCAAGTGACAACACTGATGGCAATAGCAATTCACCTAAGGCAGATGAGAGACACATAGATGTTCAAGAAGAGTCAAACCAATCAGATACTCCTTCAGACACAGCATCAGAAGAAAGTAATGTAAAGGAAAATGAACCAACTCCTGAAACTACACCAGAAAGACCTGCAGAAGAAGCATCTCCTAAGGTTGAGATGCAGTCAGATAATTATTCAATAACAGATGTTAACTCTGAATTACCTCAACCACCTGAGGAAAATCCCAAGTCTCCAGAGGTAACTGAGGAAAAGAAAGAGCCAGAAAAAATTGAAGAAATTAAGTCTGAAAGTACTGATACAGAACAAACTAAAGAATCGTAACTTACATGACTAACTACCTTCATAACATTTCACATACATTTTTATTCTGTGACTGTTAGATATTAAGTAGAAAATAAACAATTTTTCCTTAGGCACTATGAACAATATCATGTGTTTCTAATCTTGAATTCAAATAAACAGTGTTCTTTTTTTACATTTTTCTCTGCTCGTAATTTTAAAGTATTTTACAATATTTTGTTACAATAGCATTTGTAGTTAAAACTTGTGCTAGAATGCTCTATGGTAATTTGTCTGAATAAATAATAGAAACAAAACGAATGATTGTAACTTAGTATTATTTTGTACCAATAATGTAATAAGTGAAGAATAAATGATGAAACAATTTAATATGATCTTTTCTTTTTCTTACTTATATCTATGGATTAATTTTGATCATGGTGGCCAGTCTCAACTCTAAAGAAGCCCGCTACGAGAATGTGTGTGCAAACATTGTGCAGTCTAAATAGTCTCACTCTCTTAATCCAAACAGACCAACGATTTTACATGCGTTGTATGAAGGTGAATTACCACTATGTACTTTTTGACTCCAGGTTATAGGCATAGCTATTATAATCAGAAAGATCCGTAAGCAGTAAATACTGCTTACGGATCCCTTGCTTACTCTTCCCTGCGGGAATCGAACTGACGTTTCACAGTAGCTGGTCACCGACCCAGATACTAGATAGATTAGAGAGATTAAATAAATTTATCTAGCTACTGTTTTTTTTACTGGGACAAGCCCGCCACAATCTCCCATAACCGCTGCAACTCCTATAGTCAGGATCTACAGTAGATACACACATGAAAACAGTGAACCACTGAAGTCCAGAGCATCCCAGGGACCTGAATAACTGTCTTGGTTCCCACAACGAAATGAATCAGATATATTATAAGAGGAGAAGAAATAGATACTGTTTTAATTACTTTGACTTTAACTTAGTATTCTGTGCTTGGATGTTCAGAGGTTATGTAAGTGGGTCCACTTCAATCAAGGTTATTCTCATTTCACCCCTGGCCATTCATCGACAAATTTTTCTCTGCGGGGGACGTGCGTGTAGGCCCTAAAAAATTACCAAATCGGGCACCTCCCTACACTCTAGGGGGATCCTGGGGATTGGGTAATTTTTTGGATTAGACCTCTCCGGTCCGTTTTTAATATATTCTTTATTTTCGCCTGTTTCTTTCGGTCCGGTCTTATTTCAGTATTGGAAGTGAAATCAAAGAAATAAAATTCAACTTAAAAAATAACGATTTTTATTGAAGTTCTATTTACATAAGTACATTGGTACATATACAGTAGATGTTTGGAATTAAACTTAAGTTTACTAAATAACAAATATTCAACAAATCAGTCCTATGAATCTACATAATAGTATACATTGGCTTATTAACTAATTTACAAAAATACTAGGTACAATACTCGAGTTTGTCTAGTCTAGTTTACTTACGTTTCATACCGAGAACTTTGAGTTCATTCCTCATGATTTTGCCGGCGGCATTCCTTGGGATTGATTCTAAAAATACGACGCCTCCGTCAAGGTGCTTATATCTAGTTAGTTTCTTAGCTACTAAGTCAGTGATATCTTTTTCTGTGAGTTTTTGTTTGGGCTTGAGCACGACGAACGCTTTGGGTACTTCACCCGCCAGTGGGTCTGGGACGCCGACAACAGCGACATCTGCTACTGCTGGAAGCTCCATGATTATGTTCTCTAATTCTGTTGGCGATACCTGTGGATACAGATAGTAGATTAAGAGTCTGAGAAATATTGTCGATGTAGATTTTACCAGATCCAGATTTTGATCTCGTTTTGTTAATAATAAAAATTCTTAATAATATTTTTCCCGACCCGATAATCGAACCCAGGACGTCATAGTGATAACATTAATTTGCAATCCACGAAACACTACCAAGATCAAAACATTTGAATATGCAGTTATTACTAACAGCTTGCAAAGATGACCTACTTAAACGTCTGGTCCACAAAGTTCAAAGTCCCATTTATTTTGCAAGGAGATATATTTAGTAGCACAGATGCACGTACCTGATTGCCCTTAACCTTAATGAGTTCTTTGGTGCGGTCAACTATATAGAAATAGAAATCTTCGTCGTAGTACGCCACGTCGCCTGTGTGTAGCCAGCCGTCACTGTCCACCGTCTCTTTAGTCGCTGCCTCGTTGTTCCAGTATCCTTTCATAACCTGTAAAATGTTTTTAATCAATTTAGATAGGTTCTAATATCTCAGTAACGTTTAATAGATCAACAGCTTCGTTAATTTCGTCAAAGTACTATTTCTTGGAAACAAAATTTCTGTCTATTTCTGTCATTAAAAACCGAATAACTAAAATTAAGCCTAATTCAAAGATGGGGGAATGAGGAACTAAATCGTTTGTTTCAAATGAAATAAAAAGAGATTGTTGCACAGGATTGCTTCTGATAGAGGAGGTAATAAAAAAACAAATTATATTGCGACGACTATGTTTTCACTGAGGGTATCTAAGGACAGCAAGATAATTATAATGATGAGTTTCATTTACAATACTCACTTGAGGTCCTCTCAACCACAGTTCTCCAGATTTGTGCGGTCCCAGCATCTCGCCAGTAGTAAGGGAGACCACACGCGCTTGTGTGCTCGGCACCAGTTGTCCTACTGATCCTACTTTACTGTACGGGTACGTGTACGGAGTCATCAGCGTAACGGGAGAGCTTTCTGTCATTCCGTAACCTGGAAATAATAGATTTTTTATGAGACAAAATATTCAAATGTTAACAGCCACACTTTGCGGGTCATGAAAAAAGGAGAATGCCCACGGCACTATGGACAAATGTACTGAATTCAACATTGTTGTGTCTCCATGAAATAATCTTTAAAATATTCGATGGCATGTCCAAATACTACCTCAAAAGATTTAACACAAAATACATTGGCATTTTCGAGATATTCACAAAATAAAATTACTATTTTGAGGTTATGTCCGATCAATAATTCACTGAAAAAAGCTATTTAAAAGGGTCTGAATGGGTTTTTAGGGCTTGGTATCTTTAAAGCATACTTATTTGTGTAAAATCTGTAACGTGTTAGCTATGTCAGGTGGCCAGTTACTGGTGGACACATGTGTCTACCTCACCGAGTCTTATTGATTCAGATTTTGCGCATTTTTAAATCTAACGCCCGCATTTCATGAAATTGCAAAGCATGAAAGGAACCGTTACTAAAATAGTCAATAGCTCAGTGTTATATCTAGGTCCTACTCAAATTATAGCTGTGGTAGGTATCATGACATGGCCTTTATAAATACCTACAGAGGGAAGGAAAATAAACAAAAACAAATACAATAAATAAAATAATGATTATTTCTTATTATTATTTTATTAGCCGAGTGGTCGCAAGTGCGAATGGGCAAAGGGTCTCGGGTTCGATTCCTGGGTCGGGCAAAGTATTACTGGGTTCTGAAAAAATTCTCAGTACCAGGTAGTAGCACGGAGTCTGGAACTGTGCCCAGTATATGGCAATAGGCTCACTCCTATTACATGGGACTCATAACATAAATAGTGAAAAGTGGATGTTACATTGTACAGTGGCATAATGTGCACCTCTGCCTACCCCTTCGGAGATAAAAGGCGTGATGTTATGTTATTACTATTTATTTTCTTGTGAGCAGTTGAGACATTGCATCACAGTCACACTCGGCATGATCGTAACTCAAAAAGTCCAGTTATTAGTGATAAACAACACACACGGTGCTGCGGCGTTAAAAGTATGTTTATTTTCAATGGATTGACAGGAATTACGGAGGAACTAAAAGGCTCGACTCGACGCAGAACATACCAAAATCAGCAGAAATAATAGTATGGTATTGCAAAAATATGACAGACGCGCAATAAACGTCAAATAAGCTTACTACCCATAATGATGAAAGATCGATTTTTTTTCTATTTCCGTAAACCAGCCAGTGGTATTTCACAAATATAACATGGTGCTGATACCGCCGTTTACAGTTAATGTTGTTACTTTATAATAATAGGTTGAACAATCAATACAAAAAATAGAATACAATAAAAAAAATAACATTTAGGGAACGGAGAGTAGTTCCCTAAGATCGAAAAAGGAGGATAGGTCATCGATAGTCTATGTGCGTAAACTGCCATGCTGTCATTTGACATGTGTCGGCACAGAAATACCTATAAATGGCGTACTATAACTTCGGAAACATAAAATTACTAATTAATTTTCAAAAAACTATCCCATTTTAAATATCATTCAAAGTCTGTTTAAAAATATATTTTTATTTTAGATGTTTCATGCCGTTAGAGATTTTGAGACACAAGTAATTTATCAAGAGTACTGTCCATGGGCATTCTCCTTTAGTGTTATTTGGTCTTTTTCGGTTTATAGAAAACTTGGTAGGCAAGCCTGAAATTGTACAAAATCTTAGAAAGTATCTAAATGAAATTGGTGTACGATTTTTATTTAAATTAGGTAGTAAGATATTCCATTCCATACCTTGCAACAACTTAATCTGATCCTTAGTCTTCTCACACTTAAGTAAGAACTTCTCCAGCATGCTGTCAGTGGTCGGTGCAGCGCCAACCATAATAGTCTCCACCCATTGCAAGTGTTCCTTCTTCACCGACGGATGAGTTGCCAGGAAGGCCAAGAGAGATGGCACCACGAATAACGTTGTGGGCTGGTATTCCACCAAACATTTTATGTAGTCTTCCGGCGTAAACCTGAAAGTTTTAGCAAATTAACGTTTAGTACCTTAAAGATAACACCTATTCGGATTTTAGGTCATCTTTATGGACGTGAATCTGAATATACGTAGAATCGAAGCAAATGAATTAATATAAAAATGCCTACAGAGCTACCTAATAATAACTATTGCAATACTGTTGGACTGGACTAGTTGTACTTGACCTGCCTCATCAGAAATGTAATAAAATCAGATTTTAGGACGCCTAGGTGCATTAACGTTCCACCTACATAAATTTTATCTACATAGCACTTTGATACGTAGGCACTACATTATCACTAAAACAAATTATGTATCGAATCTATGAGTAATAAAGTGACTAAGCGACTTTTTGCACTACAAAACTGCAATAGGTTTCACTTACCTTGGCATTGTAACAACGTGGTAACCGAGTTTCAGATTGTAATTAAGGATTCCGTTGAAACCGTAAATGTGGAAGAATGGCGGTACTGTTAGAAGGACGTCGCCTTTGCCTAGAACGTAAATTTATTTGTGTTAAATATTATATATTGTAAATAACAATATCCTATGTTCAGCAATTTGTCAGTTCCGGGTGCCATCAATCAAAATGATAAAATAATTTGTTTCTAAAAAAA